TTTGACTTGTCTACGGCCACACCCCAGTGTGAAATGTAATGCCCCAAGTATTCTACTTCTGGTTGATCGAAGTTACATTTCTTGTCGATGTTGTCTTAGCAGTTGCAAGACTCCTCAGATGCTCCACATGATCCTCCAAACTTCGATTGAATACCAAAATATCATCAAGAAACACGAGAACAAATCGTCTCAACTGTTCTTTAAATACTTCATTCATGAGTGACTGAAATGTGGTTGGTGCATTCGTCAATCCGAATGGCATTACCAAGAACTCATAATGCCCTTCGTAGGTCCTGAACGCAATTTTTGGGATATCCTCTAGTTTGACCCGAATTTGATGATAACTAGCGTTTAGATCGAGTTTAGAGAAGATTGTCGCCCCATGTAGCTCATCCAACAATTCGTCGATCATCGGAATGGGAAACTTATCCGGAATCGTTACCTTGTTTATGGCTCTATAATCTACACAAAAGCTCCACCCTCTATCTCTTTTCTCCACTAATAAAACTGGACTTGAGAAAGGACTAGTACTTGGCCTGATAATCCAGGTTGCTAGCATTTCTTTGACCAATTTCTCAATCTCATTTTTCTGAACATGGGGGTAACAATATGGCCTCACACTTATAGGGGTTGTTCTTGGTTGCAAGTGGATGGCATGATCCTTGTCTCGTTGCGGCGGCAGCCCTTCAGGCTCTTCAAAAACCTCCCAAAATTCACTCAACACCTCTATAATTTTTGTTGGTGGCTCACTCTGTGCCTGTCCAAGCTCGACCCCCATGCTGCCTAATTCAAGAAGCACACCCTCACCTCCTTCCTTGAAAGCTTTCATCATGGTCTTCAAGGTGACTAACGTTTTACTCACGCTTGGACCCCCTTGCAAAGTCATGGTAGTATCCCCAACCTGGAACTTCATCGTTAGAGTTTTCCAGTCAACCTTGGTTGGTCCCAAGGATGATAGCCACTTCATCCCTAGAATCACATCGGAGCTCCCCAAATCCAAGGGAAGAGAATCTTCCACTATCTCAATGTTTTGGAGGGATAATTGCACTCTCTTGCACACCCCTGCTCCTTGCACTGCCATACCCGTTCCCATGATTACCCCATATCCAATTGTATCAGTTCTTGGCAATCCCAACTTCTGTACTATCTCAGCAAAAATAAAATTGTGACTAGTCCTGCAATCAATTAGCACAACTACCTCTTGACCAAAAATTGCCCCTTTCACTTTCATGGTTTGAGGTGGGTGAGCCCTACCACCGAGTTCATTGATAACTAAACCACTTCACCGGTAACTGCCCGGCCACATTCATCCGATTCCTCGCACCTCTCTTCACTTCCCAATCCTTCTGTCTCCTCATCATGAACCAGCAACACTTGCAGTTCTTCGGATTTGAACTTATGCCCAATAGAGTATTTCTCGTCACAGCGGAAGAAAAGTCCCTTCTTTCGCTTATTCTTAAATTCGACCTCACTAAGCTTTTTAAAATCAAAAGAGGCTGCGCCAACGGAGCAATGTTTCAATTTTCAATTAACATTGAAGGACGTCGGTTGGTGGCTGGTGCATTGAAGGTCGTATGTCGGTAAGGGGGATTTTGTCAATTTCGGTTGGTATTTACTTTATTTTGCACTGGGCCAGAACTACCAAAATGGGCCTGCATGGCCTGATTCTTTTCTTCAATGCGTTGGGCAGCTCCATGATTTGCTTCAACCCCCTGGGCTTCAACACACGAATCTTGGCCTTAATTTTTGGAGATAGCCCATTGATGAAATGGCCCTCCAATATGGCCTCTGAGATCTCCCCGATTGGCGCTGCTAATGTCTTAAAGGCAACCCGATACTCCATGATTGACCCTTCTTGTCGGAGAGCAAAGAAGCGCCCCTCCGTGTTACCTTCCAGCATCGACCTGAACCTCGCTCGTAGCAAGAACTTCAGCGTCTCCCAATTTTTTATCCCCTTTCTTTTCTGCTCCCATTGGTACTAGGCGAGTGCGTCCCCTTCAAAACTTAGTGCCGCCGACTCCAATTTCTCCCCTTCTATCGATTGATTCACCCTGAAATACCGTTCGACTTTGAAGATCCTGTCATCTGGATTTTGTCACAGAAAAACAAGCATCTCTAGTCTTCTCCCTTTAAGTTCCGGTCTCCAGTGGTCTCCCGGCCCTCCAACGACGACGCGACAACTTGTTTCTACGCCTGAGGAACCTTTCAAAAGCAGGTCATACTCCAATTCCTTCCCTCATTCTTCCCCTTTGCTCTCTCTCTCTCTACCCTTCTTTCCATTTTGTTCTTATGAAGGTGAACTGCTCCAGAATCATTTCCATATTTTTCTCAATATTTCGCACCCTTTGCATTTCCACTTGCATCCTATCGAACCCATTTTGCATCTCTTCCATCCAGCCTTGCAATTTTTGGTGAACCACTTCCAATTCCCCCAGACGATCCGATAAATTCACCATCCTGATTGTAACGGCTCTGATACGAATGATAGATCCAAAACAGAACAGGAGTTTTATTATGAGAATTTAACCACCAAACAATTATTACAAGAGGAACGAACCTACGATCATGGAAGCAAATTCTTTATTCAAAAAAGAGGGAAAAAATAACAAGATTAATGGACATTCGAGAGGCCCACACTCTCCCAAGGAATCTCCCAATTTCTGGATGCTGGTAACGTGATTATAACCCTTATTTATACTGCAGTTGGTGCTACAATTATGCAATTGGTCCTGCAATTGGTGCTATAATTATGCAATTGGTTTTGCAATTGTGCCCATTCCCTTTGATCTTTGCTGCCTTTGGTATGTTGTGTGGATTGAGGGTCTATCAGTGATCCCTTATCGCCATTTTTATTCATGATTTACCTTGAATACATGTCAAGATCATTGAAAAGAGCTACTAGCAACGGTGAATCAATTATCTCCAAAGTGTGGGCTCTTGAATATCCCACACTTGACTTTTGCGGATGATTTGATGCTATTCTCGAGGGGTGAAGTTATTTCAGTGCACATATTGATGCATTGCTTGTCTAAGTTCAATAAATGCTAGGGATTAATAGTTAATATAAATAAATTCAATCTATATACAGCAGGAATTCATGGGGCAGATTTGGAGGTAATACGGGATGTTGTGGGCATACCTAAGGGGACCATGCCGTTCAGATATTTGGGGGTACAACCCACGATCGAAAAATTGAAAGTTAATCATTTTACACCCTTTTAGATAAGATTATGGCATGCATTAACACATGGACACATACTTACGACGAGAGGGCCAAATTGGTGAGAGCCGTCTTACAAGGAGGGGAATGTTTTTGGTTATCTATATCTCCAATTCAGGCTGCAGTTACAATGAGAATTATACGGCTTTGTAGGAATTTTCTTTGGAATTCCAAAAGTGAAGGAGGCTTGGGATTTCAAGACATCAAGAGTTGGAATGATGCATTGCTTGCAAAATCTCTTTGGAACATACATGATAAGAAAGACAATTTTTAGGTCCGTTGGGTCACTCATGTGTACTTACGAGGGGCTTCAATTTAGGGGTGAACGCCGGAAAGAGATGACTCTCTATTGCTTAAGAAACTACTGACCATTCAAGACCTGCTCATCAGAAAAGAGGGCAGCAAGTAGGCTACCATCCAACAATGGTGAAATGGAAGAGTGGGGACACCCTTAAAATTCCACAATGTTATGATTATTTTTGGCCAAAGGGATCTATGAAAACCTGGGCAGCGGATGTTTGGAAGGGATTCATCACGCCAAAACACTCTTTTATCCTTTGGTTGAGTGCCCAATTAAAGCTACTTACCAAGGATAAATTACAGCACCTAGAGACTGACTGGAATTGTATCTTTTGTGGGTAGATGGAGGAAACCAGCCAACACTTGTTTTTCACTTGTCCGTTCAGTGCGTCTTTATGGGGTTCTGAAAGTGGATGGGTATTACATGCTCAATGTCTACGTTAGCAAGCTCATTAAAGTTTATTAAAAAGGAGGCTCAAGGTATTTCTTGGCAAAGTAAAGCCAAGAAAATCGCACTAGCTAGCATCGTCCACAACATTTGCATGGCAAGAAATAGACAGATATTTGAAGATCTTAGCCATACTCCAATAATATTGTGAGAAGGATCAAAATACATGTATACAAAATTATGTTTATATTGTGTCATAATGTTTTAATCTATTTTGAGTCTTTATGAATACAGTTCACAAGATATGATAATAATGAAATAAAGCAGAAAAGTAAATAACACGGAGATTTACGTGGAAACCCAATTCAGGAAAAAACTACGGGCAGAGGAGAAAAAAATTCACTATAATCAATAGGAATGTGTTTACAATATTAAGACTCAATATTCTCAATTGAATCTAAGCTCACAAGACGTTGTAGATTTATTTTTCAAGGTTTTTTTTCCTCAAAACTCGTGAAAATTCTCTCTTCAATACAATGGACGACGTTTTGTATTTATAGAGATGCCCAAAAAACCTATTACCAATAGGAGTCCAAAACGCGTTAAAAGACGAAAAGTCAGGAAATCCAGTCGCTCGACGCTGCTCGAGCGACAGGGGGCGAAAAGCGGGCGACGGCTCTCTAGCTCCAATTTTGACGGTTTCGCTCGAGCGTCCAGCCAGTGAAGAGCTAGTGAAAATACGGCGTATTTTGCACCTATTCCATAACTTGATCTCTCCAAGATCAACCCAACTACTACTCCTAAAACCCCAAGAATTTAGGTCACACTACAACAGAGTCTTTAGCTTTGGTTCGTTAGATCGTGTCATTAGTACATGTTATGATTTAGTAGGGATTTTGTAAGTCCGAGTATGCCCGATGTACTTGTACATGAGTTTTGATCTATATAATTTTATATTTACCGATCAAAAAAAAGATTTTTGATGATTTTGTGGATGGCATAAATTCCTACTTTAAAAGAATACATTGGACATGATCAAAGAATTCAAGTTTAGAGAACGACAAATATCATCAATCTTGACCAGTATCTTACTTTGTGTATGGTGACGAGTGATTTGTTTTCTTCACGTCAACCAAAAGAGGTCCATTTTCTAAGGTGGTACTTGAAGTTTCTGAAGATTTGACCTCAATTGATGAAGAGGTGACATTAGATGCTGCAGGAGTAGCCTCTGCATTACTTGATTTGGAGGCACTTGCACCAATACTTGGAGTGGGAGTCGGAGAAGTCGGGGGTTTCAAATCTTCATACCTACAAGAAGACGGGGATAAATTGGGGTTAGTCTTGTCAGGAAGCACTTATAATGCAATAAACATCAATAGGACTCACGCAATATATGGAGAAAGTGGTGTTGTTGAGGTTGCCTTCAATTCTTTAGGTTTTTCCTCTGCAGAAGTGCTTGGGATCCCAGAGGTGATATTATCGGGAACTTCAGGCTGGGGTCCATCTGCATCATCTGATTCCTAAAAACAATTCCTCATAAAAATCTTTATCAAATGATTAAAGTTGAGAGCATATTTTATTAGCTGAATTTCTTATCAATATAGAAAAGGCCTTGTGAATTCAAAATGTACGAGTGTCGCATTTTAATTACACCAGCAACCCAATTAGTACAATAGGTTAATATTTCCATGAATTAATGCACATGATCCACAGAAGTGTATGCCATCAGACATTACCTTGATTGGGTAAATTTCTTCACGTTGGGAAGGTATATTTTTGAGGAGCTCTCCCATGGAAGTCAGTGGTGCTGTAGTTTCTGCAATTACTTCCACAACTTTACAGTACGAAAGGCTACGGTTTTTGGCCATGAAAGCCATTAACTCGGCTACCTGATATTAACCAATGAAAAATAGTTTCATCCAGAACAAAAGTGAAGCCTGTTTTGTTTATTTTTAAGAACAGAAAAGGCTGCATTTTATTATCAGAGTATAACAATCTTGTGGGCGAGACTTCCTAATTCATATGTAGACAAAAAAAAATAAACCTGCAGATTCGATACTTGGCCACCAAATAAAGTATCCTCTTGTGACAAAGCAATATTGTGAGTTTCCTTGTACGAATCAGTAGGTCGCTCCATTCCTCCAGGTCTCACTATCTGCAATAGTAGCACATATGCATCAAGAATGTGACACTTCTTATCTTCCAATAGCATATACCGTTGTCCAACTGAACTCACTGTGTAAGGGAGACCACTGGCAAGTAGGGCTTCTTCTGCTTTCCTTTTCCAACAAAGGACTCCCCAAAACAAACTTTGGCCACAGAATTAGATGGAGGGGAATAAATTAAAAACCAAATGCTCTGTATCTATGAGCAAATCTCTAGTTGGTAGCTCAATAACTTTTGCTAAAGTTCAGAAACTTTTCCAGTTGAATAGGAAAAAATAATTGCTTACTTCAATATAGCAGCGGGAAATCCAAATTTGTTTGTTCCCAGAGATGTCAGCAAAATGAAGTGGTCAACTTTTGCAGAAGCCGCTGCATGGAAGACAGCAGTTATCGTTGCAGCATTTTCACTGATATAAGTTACACAAGTTTCATCGATGGAAGAATATAGATCAACCCTGCTATTCTTTTTAAGCCAATAGCATCTGCATACCTGAACCCAAAATTTTTCTTACCTGCATCAATCAGATTTTTCGTTGCCTGGTAGTCAATCCGATAGGGTCCAGTTATATCAAAAACCTCCTTCTCGCTGGCACCAATACAGCATAGAACAATCGATGCATTGCCCAATGCAGGACTAATTTGATTTTGTTTCTCCAGATCGCATTCCACGAGTTCAAGCTTATCTATAGCTGGGCTAAAGACCAAAGGAATTATGTGACATGAAATCAACAGACAAACAAAAGTGCAAGCGTAGGAAGGTAAAAGAACAGTCATTCTCATGTCTATGAACAATCAAAATCTCATATATAAAATAAATTCTTAAAGCTCGTTTATCATACGTTGAATTTCTCCTGCGACATCCTCAAGCTTCATGCTTTTAACGCTCTGTTAAGACAAAAAGAAGTTTCCAGTGAATAAGGGGTCCAAAATACTATTCTTATGTTATGTTAACTGTTCCACTAAATAGAGCTCATACTTGCACGAGAGATTCAGCTCTCTGAATATTCCGAACACCTGCTCGAACTTTAAATCCTAATTTCAAAAGCTCCCTGCAGAAAAATAAGACTGTTAGCGATTACAGATCAAAAGTTCATAGTCCATAAGCTTTATATACAAGTAGTGAAGTCAAAATTTATGACCTTACAACTCGTGAGCCAACTCTACCAGTCGCACCAGCGACAAAAACAAGATTGCTGTCCTTTAGACTAGCATCAATTGGAGTTGCATTGGGTGCCTCCAAGCTGGATTTCACTGTGCCTTGTGGAAGAACATCAAAGTCCATATTTCAAGCCGTATTTAATATTTCAAAACACAGAAAGAACTACAAAGGGAAGCAACTTGTTCCCTTTCATTATGAAGACAGTCTTCATTCACTAGTCATAAACACATTTTCTCATATGACATGTTTTGCGGGAGGGCTGGATTCTTTACATTGTTCAGTCATATCCAATATTGTGTACTAAACATGCATTTACACAGGGAACCCAAAAATCTCATGGCCGGGCCTGTGCACAGTTATCATGAAGAATGAATCATGACATGGAAATTGTATACGAACCAACTAATTAGGCAAACTTCTTTCAAGATTCAAGTCCGAAATTAAATGGCCTCGAGGAGCTTGAGAAATCAAACTGCGTGTCGAATCGTGAAATTGATTCTCGAATATGCTATATCTAGTAAACGAAATTTTAAGTACAATGCACTATTCCTCTTCATGTTTTCACATATTTTTAGCTTTTCTAGACTGCATGTCAATAAGTGCCGCCGAAAAAGTGGCTTTTGAGCACGGCCAAACACTTCAAAGAGATTAAATCCAAGTACGAAAGGCTCCATTATAGCACAAAAAAAGAACGAAAATAAACAGCATTGTAGGAATACGCTACCTGATGCTTGGGCCCTAAAATCAATAAATTTAAGCTTTCTCGCATCTGGGCAAATTCTCTTATTATTGATAAACTTGACGGCAGTGTGCCCACATAGAAATGGTTTTTCGATCAACCCAGTTCGAGGAATGCTGCTTACTGTAGGTGATTGAACGCACCGTAGCAGCCCCATCGCAAGCAAACTCTGTTATACCACAAAAATTAACGATCAAAGGTTTATCTAGAAAAATTGCAATTGCGTTATCCAACGCAAGCTACAAGATGTCATGGTCCCGCCAACAAAAAGGACATGGCGGCCACATATTTTATTTAAATAAAATATATTATTAACAAGTTTACTAAAATAATTTTTTAGTTGACAGAAGTCGCTACTATTTGACTTCAATTCAAAATTTGGCACCTGGGGCACTTTTTCAAGGAAGAAAGTACAAAAAATTTTACCCTTTTTTTTCAAATGTGGGATCTATTTAAGAGAGATGTATTCAAATATGATGACTGTAATTTGCTCTTCAACGGTCACAATTTTCATTTTTTGGACTAAAATAAATTAATGAATTTTGAAATTTTTTATAAATTTAAAGTACTTTCAATTTAATTCTAATTTATTTTATCAATAAATTGTATTAAGATATCTCAATAACTTATAAATTATTAAGGATTTCATTGGAAGCATTTTAATAAATTTTAGAGAATTTCGAACCTACGAAAATGTCAAGTTCTCTAGAAATTTAGCATGACCCTCAAATTTTAATGAATTTCAAGCATAAGATCAAGTTATTTGTGCCTTTGATAAATGTTTGACCTCGTTTTCGTTTAGGATCGCGTGGACAACAGATGTCAAATACACCCGCGCACACGTAAGCAAAAGTCCAACACGCTAAGGCTCACACAGGGTCTAGAATGGTCTGAAAAAGGGCTGTGGGATTAACTCAAAGGCGCGGGACAATAACATTCAAAATCCGACGATACATTTATAAAACGATTGTATAATAATTACCAATCATGATTGATGAACTTTATGCAAACTTAATTGTATTCGTAAGAGTAAAAATGAGATGAAATGTTTTGTATTTATTCTGGTATTGAGTTTTGTAAGTGAAATTGCATTGGCCTTACAATGGGGACGTGGGGAAATATTTATAGTAGTGCAAGGTGAATTGTGGCCCTTAGATGAAAGTACACGTAACCTCATCTCCACAATCCATACATCTAATCCTAAACATCACCTTTGACTTGTTGGCTCACTTTATGTTTATTAAGTGGCAGAACTGTCACTTTATTTGACAAGACTTGACACTCAAATTATATAATAGACATCATATCAATCATTCGAAAAAGATATTTGGGAATGAGCAAATCATTTGAAGAGGGTGACAGCGAAGGCGCCTCGGATCCATGGCCTCAGTTAATGGGCCTCAACAAAATAAAGTAAAACAAATTCAATTCAATTATGTAAGAAAATAAAAATATAAAGATAAATAGAAATAAAATATACATTTTCAATTCTCACTTTGAAAAGTGGAGAAAAAAGAAAATAAAGAATTCAATTTGCTATTGAAATTTGGAATTGAATTTTTATTCTGGACAGCTAAGAACGAAAAACGAATCACTAGAAAAACTATGCTTGGCACATTAAGTTCTAGATTGCTCATGGTATCAATCTGACAGAAAGATGAGCCAATCGTGGACCATCAAAGAATTTTAATCACATTCATTTCCTACAAGATTGTTCATGGTAACTCTAAAATCCCATCACACTTTGCCTCGCCACTCTGCCTGCATGATCCCTTATTACAATCCCATCCTAATGAGTCCATCCCCCGTCCTGATTGCACATCTATGTTCCATTTCAAGTCCCCTCCCCTCGATGGTCTCATCAACCTCCCACCGTTCCTCTTCTTCGGACATCAAGTGACTAAAGCTACATTACATCAAATTTGCCGAGTCCAATTGCAGCTCTGTACTTAGAGCATCTTCGATGGTGATATGAAATTGGGTGTAAATTCGTATCTTTAAAATCACTTTTGTATCCTCATTTACATCTTTATATATCTAAATATAAATTTTGTTTCACTGAAAATATTTAAATTCACTTTTTATCGTGGGTGTAAAAATATATATATATATATATATAAATTTAATGTTTTTTACATTTTCAGGAAAAAAATGTAATTTGCATCTCCGTTACATCTATCTATTAGAAAATGTTTTCTATAGATTTAAAAATCTAAATCTCTGCTACTCACCATCGTTGGAGATGCTCTTAGATCATTGTCCATTCCATTTCACAGTACACAATTCTATTCCGTTTGTCCCAGGCACCCCAAAGCCCACTGGCAAAAAGAAGCAGTTCATTTCATTTTGCTTTTGAAACTTATTGATCAACTAAACACTATTTTTATCATAAAATATTTAATGCATAATTCTCGATAATATAATGAAATATTTATTTTGAAATTTAAACAAATCTGCTTGATTGGATAAATTATAATTTTGTACAATTTTTTTTTTTTAATGGAACTGATTTTTCATTTGTTGATATTTATTTGCTTGATTTTGTAGATTGATTAAATTAGCAATTTTTAATGATAGAGTTGTGGATTTTCTATGATAAACAATGAGGTCATAAATTTTATTTTCTAATTACAAAGTTGGATGAGAGATATACTAAGGGTGTGTTTGTCACCCATTATTTTGGAAGAATGTATTATGGAATAGTAATTAATGTTGAAATGTGTGATTAAAAAGGAAAAAAAATTTATTTACGTGTAATATTGTTTTAATGAAGAATGTGTTGTTAAAAATGAGTACTATAATGGAAAAGAATGTAAGAAAATGGATGACAAACAGGAGCTAAATAGTTACTTTATTTTATCTATAAAATATAACTCTGTTATCCATTCAAGTTCATAAAATATATGAAAGGGTTCATTTCTAAGAGTTTATCTATAGCCTATTCCAAAACTAAGATATGGAGGTTTAAAATTTCAAAATTCAGATATTATTAAAATTTACTTATGAAATAATTGATTAAAAAAATATTTTATTAGTTAAACATATCAAGGTCACAAATTTATATTATTTGGTCACAACTTATCAAATTAATTGGTTACAAATTATAACTAAGTCACAAATCGAAAATTCCATAAGTCACAAATTATTTGTCGGTCATAAATCAAAAAGTTTATAGGCCAGAATTCATTTATATATTACAAAATCAAAATTTTTATTGGTTACAACTCATTGATTCATTGCAAATTATCAAATTAATTGATCACAAACTATTTTTCAATCACAAATCAACAATTTTGTAGGTCACAATTTATTCACCAATCACAAAATCAAAACGTTTATTGGTCACAACTCATTTATCGATCACAAATTATTAAATTAATTGGTCACAATTACATTTTTTAAATCACGTATAATTTATTCGTCACAATCAACCAATTTATTGGTCACAAATCCCATCCCGTCCCACCTATGAATGACCATCGTCATCGGTAACCACCACCACACACCACATCAATGCAACATCACCACCACAATAACCACAACACCACCACACACCAAACTTCGGCACCACCCTCACTGTCGGATAGTGGCCCCAGATCACACATACCTTGCGCACCGATAACATGTGACCGTCACCACCACCACAAACACATCACAGAAAAAACACCACAAACTACAAATCCATCTCCGCCGCCATCACAGGAAAATGCCATGCAACGACGAGGTTTGAGCACCGCACCCATCAATGACAAAATCTGAACGTTGCGCCCATTGACGACCTAATCGCCGTTGTGCGCAGTGAACTCAATCGCCATTCGGCGGCGATGGGTTCACCACTCACAACGGAGATGGGTTCACCGCCGCCGTCAAGATTGTACAAAGAGTGAATGAAAGGAATAGAACCACAGGTGGAGAGAAAATGGTTTGACAATTGTAGAGAGAAAATGAAATGGGTTTGAGATTAGGTTTGTGATGAATTTTGGTTGTATTATTAATATCTAATTTTTGTTTAAATAAGTTTTATCTCTGATTTTTGAAATTGAATCTTGAGAATTCTGGTTTTATGTAATTACCACTATATGAAAATTCATTAAGGCCCTGTTTGATTTATCAAGTTTTCCATGGAAATCTTTTTGGCTGTTTGATAGACTTTTTTTCCACGGAATTCGTTTTCTTGTTTTTCTTGGGAACTAGCAATTTTTCACGTTTTCATGGAATTCGGATTCTCACCACATTGGTGAGAATTCGAATTCCAGGCCACTGTAGCGATATTTTTTTTTTAATTTTTTTTGTTGGCAATGGAAACAAATTTTAAGAATTGTTGTAAAAAAAATATTTTTCTTTAATTGACAATTTTCATGTAAAACAAAGACAAACGAGTACCAAAAGATATATGATTTTCTTGAATTTTTTTATTTTTGCAATGAAAACAAATTTCTTTCCCAATACTAATAAAATCTATCTCTTTAATTGACAATTTTCATGTAAAACAAAGTCAAATGAACAGCCAAAAACACTTTTATTTTAACATTTTTCACGTGAAAAATTATACTAATCAAATACAATAATTTACAACTCCCAGAAAAATAATTTTTAGACAATTCAATTCCCTATAATTCGTTTTCATTTCAATTCAATTCTATCTTTGCAATCAAACGGACCCTAAACTCTCAGATCAGACACCTACCTTAACTAGGAACCGGAAGGAGTTGCGTTCAAGTCCAACTTAGAATCGAATCGATTTGAACTGGATCAGTTTGAGTAATTTGCCAATTCAAGCCAAATTTTAATTTTATTTCAAGTGCTTGGCCCTTTCAATCAATCCTTCTCACGTCAAAACAAGATCGATCCTTTGGACCCATATATCTTCTAGGGTATTTTTCACAAAACTCTATCTAG